GGGCCTCCGGTTAATAGGTTAGTCCCAAAAATAATATAAAAGTGGAAAATAAAGCCCAATATAGTCCAAAACAGTAGATAAAGTAGCATGGAGCAATCAAAAATTATAGATACGTTGGAGACGTATCAGCCGTGGACAGGCATTCACCATCCGCTTGATCAAGCCGAAGTAGCTAGTGGGAAGGGGCTCACCAGGCCACATCCGGACTATGAAATCTTTCATCGCCACTTTGGCCGCCCTGTGGAGTTCGACCAACTGCTTCAGTTGGTCACTCAGAGGCATTGGGTGTTTGGCCCCAGCATACTGGGACCAGAATAGCTTCTCCGTGGAGCTCCCCTCCTCGGCACGGTAGAACTCCGCGGCGTCTGAGATGCTGTGTGGCAGATCTGCGAATACCCCTGGAGAGCTCCGAATTCGGCTAAGTAAAAGAAACGCCTCCTCCACATGTTTGCTTTGCATAAAGAATGTCTTACCCGCCGCTATCTTCTTGGCCACCTGGATTTCCTGCTATGCCTTGTCAGCTTCGGCCTTGGTGTCTTTCATACTGGCAAGGGCCTTCACAAGCTCGGCCTCTTTCATTTTAAGATCATGCTCCACAGACTTGAACTTCTTGCTGAGTTCCTGTAGCTCTTGTTGTACCTCGCTGACTTTAGCATCTTGCTTTGCACGCTCCTTGCATTCCAAGGCCGCCTTGTCTTTAGCCTCGGACAACGCTTTCTTCAGGGACACCACTTCGGTGGTGGCCCCTGTTACGCAGTCACGATGCTTCGTCGTTAGAATAACCAATTGTATCTATCCTTCATTACATGAGAGCGGGGAATCACTCACCTTTGTTCTCTTCGAGCTGCCTCTTCGTGAGGTCGAGCTCTCCCTGCGCCTGCTCCAGGTCCCGCTTTAGTCCGGTGACCTCGGCTGTGCGGATAGCAGCGGCAAGCAGCACAGCCTGCTCATTCACATACACACTTACTATTAGGCTCCCGCGGATTATAATTGACCCTCTGTTTGGCTTTTCTTTCTGAACACCAAATAGAGTATCAGGGGCTACTACCTATCGGGTGGTAGTTTCACACATTTTTATTACTTACCTCAAAGCCTGTCAGGATGCTGGTGCAAGCTTCGGTTAGTACGCTCTTGGCGGACAAAACCTTCTGAATCACCGCACTCATAAGAGTACGATGCTCTTCATCCATGGAAGCGTCGTGAAGCGCTTCCATCAGATAATCCGACGCCTCGGGCGTAGCGGAAGTCCTCGGCACGGACGGCTCGCCCTCCCTAACGAGGGGCTGCCCGCCTGAGTCCGGAACCATCCCAGGTTCCGGAATAGTGTTCGGCTGAGAGCCCGGCTTACTGCGGCTCTCATCGACACGATCCGCGGGGATCTTGAACCCCGCATGTCCGACATCTGGAATTCCACCCCGGGGCGTCTCCAGAGTCACCTCCCCCCGCTCTGGGATCCTTCGGGACAACACCTCTGTGTCATCCACGGGCTGAGGAGTAGTGGCCGTCGGGAGCGAGTTCATTGCTGAATCGCTCAGGGACCCATCCGAAGATGATACCTCGGGATGAACCCTGGCCGGACTGCATAAATGTTCGGTGTTATAAAAAGACTATGAAGTAAAATCACGATAGAGTGTGGATACTTACGGTCGCGCTAGGGGCTTCCCCCCGGGCAGCCATCCCTCCTCGCTATGGGCGGCCATGGCGGAGTAGTTCGAAAGGTTCACCTTTCCCTTCTTGGATGGCCCGGCCTCCTCCTCTGGGGCGGCTTTCCTCTTTTTCTCCTCCCCAGTGTAGGGAGGTAGAGTTTCTTCTTGCTTCCCACCGCCTCCGCGGGAGGAATATGCCTCGTCGTCGTTGGACGATGAGGGTATGACGGCCTTGCGCCGGGGGCCTTTCCCGGCCCTCTGGTCTGCCTTCTCAGGCCCCTCATCCTCTCCGGATGGAGTGGCCCCTTCTTCTTCTTCCTCCCCTTTGGGGGAGGAGTGTGCCTCATCGTCTTCGAATGAGGCTTCCAGTACAACCTTACGCCGGAGACCCTTCCTAGTCCCCGGGGCCTTCTTTTTGGCCTTCTTCTCCGGTGCCTTGTAGGTCGCCGGGACTAGCATCTCCGTCAGGAGAGCATCAGCTGGGCCTTCTGGCAGCGGAGCCGGACAGTCACACATAGTCCTCATCAAATATGCACAATTATTTAAGACTCCCCCATGAATATATTGGGAAGAACCG